ATCGGGCATCGGTGCTTTCCTTCGCGAACAATTGACGTCTGACTTTGACGTGCCCTCCGACACTTTCTCCGACTTCTCCTTTCTTCGCCGTTCTTTGTTCGATGAGAAATCGGCGGAACGTCGGGTCGAGCCACCGATCGATGGCCCATCATTTACTCAAAGATTCTCCGACTCTCTTTCCGTGAAAAGATCGCTCGCGAACCTGGAACGCTTTTTAATTAAGAACACACACGTACATACATACACACCGGCGAATATATAATTTTTCCATAGCGGCGCCGGTTTCTTTTTTTCACTCGCGCACTCGGTCTTTCGATTCGCGTTCCCTCAAAGAACGAGCCCCCCCGTGAATCGTCTCGCGTCTCTTTCCGATTTCCTTGGTGGAAGAAGAAAGTTCGTTTTTTCGTTCGAGCTTCTAAGAACGAAGATTTATTTCCAACAGGGCGATAATCGGTAATTTTCCCGGCAATTTAAAGACTAAAGAGAGTCGAAAAGCGAGAGGTGGTCTCATTCCGCGTGTTAGAATTTCGAAAATTCAAATTTAACCTTTCACCTGGATCACCGGGTCACCGTAACACTGTTCAACTGTTTAGAGTCTAAAGTGTCTTTGCGGGAAGGCTTCTGCATGGGAAGTCCATTCTTCGAATTATGATTTCCAGAAATCCAAATTGAAGATGTTGGGCTTCTTAGTTTCTCTCTGTTGAATCGCTGCCGCCGAGAAAGACTTCGCGGGGGTAAAAGGGAGGGGGGGGGAGGGGATGGGAGGCAAGAATTCCACATTATCGGCCGGGTTTCTCGCGGATACAATTTCCCAACACAATTTTCTTTTCAGTCGCCCCGAACGAATCTAGCCCAGCCTCGGCACGACGGTGGGTGGCAAATGGCAAAAGGGGGAGGTGAAGGGGCGAGAAAGAGAAAGAGTTAGCTTTGATGGTGGGAGGGGGGAGGGAGAGGGAGGCAGAGAGAGAGAGAGAGAGAGGGTAGCAGAGCAGCGGCAGCCCATATTCGTGCATTGTGGCACGTTCCATCGCGTTCTCAACTGAACTGAACTCGACTCAACAGTGGAGGACACAATGGGCGGTATGAATAAGTATAACAGACAGACACCGGTACAGACAGACACAGGTAGCTCAGGCCGCAGTATGTGAATGAGGAACCCATTTGATAACACGCCTCCACAGCCACCCAGGTCCATTGTGTCGCTTCCTATTCAGCTGCTCTATGCCCTCTTCTCCTCCTCTATCCCCCCTCTTTGCCTCCTTCTACACCCCCGCTGCCTCTGCTGTTCCTGCTCTTCCTCACCCCTTCATTCGCTATCTTCCCCTTCTCCGTTCTGTTCGTTCCGATATCGCCACGGAAATCTTATCCTATCGGGCTTCTCTCTCTCTCTTTTTTTCTCTCTCTGTACCCTGTGTACATGCGAAAAATCACGAGGGTGTCCGTTCTCGTTCCTCAGCTTCCGGTCGGTAGGTGCCACTCGCGTTCTCCGTTTCACGTGGCTTCGTAACTGTAATTTGGCAGCTTGATGATTTGAGGAATTCGAATTGAGCAACTGATATGTCGATACCGATCTTTGATTAAATATTTCTAGTGAATTGTCAACTAAAATTTATCACGATAATAGATTCTTTGTTAAAATGATTTTCCAGAGTCTTCTGTTCGCCGATAAATTCGTTAATATAGGCGAGGAATATAGAGAAAATCATTCCATTATATTTTATCTAAAAGAAGAGCAACGTGGTAGTGTCGGTACGGGCAGTTGAGCTATTACTTTCGGCCATCTGAGGTTTACAGCCTTGTTACGCAGAGATTGACTTAGATAGATATCTCCTGTGATGGAGCGCCCCTGGGCTTTGTAAAAATTTTCGTCAGAAGTTCTGGTTCAGCGTCGATATTTTTGATACGATTTAACTTACTCGACTCGGTAAAAAGGAAAAAGAAAAAAATTTACGCTCTCCGAAAATATGAATCTCAGACTTATGCTTACAAATAATGAGTCTTCCGACGAACTAACGTTGGAACAAGATTTCGTCACAGACATAATGATTTGCTTCTGAATCCTCTATATCTGTTTAGATTTATAAGGATATAAATCATCTCACGTGTTGGAACAATCAACAACGTTATATATAGATTCTTGTAAGAGTACTTTCAATTTTTGAAACTTATTTTTATTTTGTGCTTACTTGCAGTGAATTTGGACTCATCAAAGAGTTGTTTACACATTTTAATCAGTCCTTATCTTCAATTATCATTCAAGAAGTGTCCAAATACTTGTGACAATACCTCGGATATTTCATCAATCGGAACACTCGAGCGCTGTCTCAGGCTTGAACGTTCAAGTTCCAAGAACAATTCCCTGTGCTATATATTCCCTAATCTACGCGCGTGTACCAAACTAACGCGTTCCCCGATGGCCCGGTTACCCACATACTATACGGTTCGCACACGGAACGGTCCGCGAAGCGATTTCCACGGGGTTTTCGCGACGGTGGTGTGTCAGTGGTCACGGATCCTGGCCACCATTCGGTCGATTAGCGTGTCCGTGGATCTAAAAAGCCGGCCGCTTATCCGCGCGGTGGATAATCGGCGCGGTTAGAATGTCGAATGAGCACGGCCGGCCCGTTGTCCAGCCGGAATATTTATCCGAATTGTAATATTGACGCGAAGTGGACAGATATTTTGGAAAGGGTGAAAGCGAGTTTCCCTGGCGCGCGGTCCGCGTCCGCGTTTCAAAATCGATTTTCTAGTCAATGCCGGAAAGCCGGACCGGCAACAATGCTCCGATTTTCGGGATCTCGCTAGCATAAATAGCAAATAGCGAAGGTCCTGTGTATGTGGTCCCGGTTGGACCAGCCAGAACGAACTATCACAGCGCGCACACAGACACACACACTCACACACACACACTCTCTCTCTCTATCTCTCTCTCTCTCTCGTGCTCTCTAGTTCCCGGTTCTGTACGTACGTGTACGTTGTACACCGAGTACCGACAACAATGAGGCAGAGACAAAGGCCAGGTACAATGCTGATGTTGAACTCGACTGATTTCGACGATTTTTGGCCTTTGCATGTGCATCGCGCGTTACTCGACAATGATTCCCGCATACGTAATCATCGCTATGGGCAGGGAAGGCTGGTGTACACTCGCGAGGCAGTGGCTCTCACGTCGCGCCCTCTTTTTCCCTCCGCGAGCGGGTGCCGCGGTTCCTGGAGCGGCCGATGCCGAGAGAGAGCCCGGCTTGCTCTCGCGTAGTGTTACCCGCCGACCGCGCCGCGCTTTTCAATCCCTCGAAACTCCAACGCGGCGTGGCATCGCGATTCCCTTCGTCCCCCTTCGACCCCCCCCCCCCCCGATTTATCGGTTTAAATACCCAGCGCTGACTGGATAATAATAATTGTAAGCGATAGCCGATTTATGGACCGCAATCAGCCGTGTTTCTAGCCGGGCCGGCTACAATCTATCTAATCAATGGCAGTTAATGCCAAACGCGACCCGGGCTATTTAAATGTGAAACTGATAATCGACGCGGGCGTCGTTGCTTAATATTCCGCGATCGTTTCGACGTTTACCGGATCATTAGCTCCGTTCTATGGGCTCGAAGGACGAATCGATCCATCTACGATCCATCGAATCGTTTGCTCACAATCAGTGTCTCTGACATTTTTCGACGAGTACGTTTCTCCCGAGTCGGTGGGGGGGGGGGGAGAATCGGGCACGCGAGCGAACCGCGTAGATGTTACGCACGACATACGCGGGGAGAGGATAGTTGGATCTTCTCCTCTCCACGGTAAGAGAAGCTTAGCTCGGTTCTTTCGCGAGGGGTTTTTCGTGAACCGCGCGCAAAAGGGGGGCCGATCGATTGAGCACCCCTGACCGCACCTGAATAGATACATTGTGCCGGGGCAGCCTATTGACGGGCGATTGTTCCCTCAACAATAACAACAATATCTGAATAGTCGTCGTGCACATCTCTCGCGCGCGTTGCACGCACGCACCCACGCACGCACGCACGCACGCACGCACGCACGCACCCGCGCTCCGCCACTGGCCGCCGTGTGTATGTGTGTTTGTGTGTTTGTGTGTGGCGTGTCGCATCCCTTTGCACACGGGCCCTCGCACGCTCGCGTCGCGCATCCCTTCACACGTACCGGTCTCTTTGCGCGATCGCACTTACACTCGCTCGATCACGTCGAAGATAGAGCCCCCCCCCCTCTCTCTCTCTCTCTCTTCACGACATTCCACGGACCGCGAATAAGTAGCTTGGCGTGTCGGGTTAGATCTTCAAGACTGCGTGTTTGAATTGAATCCGTCGTCGTGGCGTCTCGACAAAGTTCATCGTTCGAGCGTTGGTCGATTTTCTTCTTCTCTTCTCAGGAAGTTGAGATCTTGTCATTAGGCTTGTCGTTAGGGGACGTTGGCGAAGGCAGAACGAATGGTTTTAAACCTGGAAATAAACAATTGTTCATGCACAAAGATTCTGTGAAGCCGTTAGTTTATGAACAGTTGGATCGTACAATACGCAGATAAAATGTTGCTGTCTGGGAGGTTTTCGAACGAGAGAGGTGTAGATAGACTTTTGTTTCGTCCAGTAGACTTTACAACGAGTACACCATACACCATGAACATGCGTCTGTATATTTCTATCTATCGTTTATCACTTGTAAATTGATGCTTCGTAATCTTTCATTAAAATACTTGTTTTTGACAAAGTCGTTTATTCCTTTCGATGAAACTGATCTCAAATTATAATACATCCTATTCAGTCCCCTATTGACAACCAAATTAAAGAGGAAAGTTCCCAAAGAAGAAAAAAATTCGCGACGAAAATTCGAGATTTCAATGCGTTTTAAGTGTTAGTTAATTAAAGGTTGTTCAACGTATAAAGAATACACAGAATGTACAAAAGAGAGAAAGATTCATTGAGCGTTACACGATAATGAATGAATAATCGTATGCTTAATGTGCATTAGTTTAAATAATTGAGCGTAACACGGCGTCGTTGTAAAATATTGTTTATTACCCGCTTATAAACAATGGTCAGTAAAGACTCTAGCGAAATGGTTTCGGTACAATTACAATACTCTGGTTGCGGGCGCGCATTACATTTATCGTGAAAATGTATAAGCCAATTATAATTATAGCGCTCCGGTCGATTCGTAATATTATAATAGGTTGCTATGTCGTCGTGCACAAAGAGGCGTATTTAATGTGAATGCTTATTAATAATTCTACCTGCGAAAAAGTCGCAGCTAGCGACTGTATATACGCTACGCATTGCCAACTTAACGTTGATTAATAATGTTATTATTGACTGGCAAACGAACGTTCATTGTACTTTTGCATCGGCTATATGGCTTTTATAAAATCGGGGAAAGCACGATCGGCTAAATTACATCGGTATTTCACATAGTTTTCCCTCCCACGCGATATCTCCTAATATATCATCAAGCTTGCTCTTTGCAACGTATAAGTGTCACGTGTTCACGTACGTTTTGTAAAAAGAAAATGAAGAAAAAAAAAAACGAAAGAAGAAGGAAAATAAACAAGAGGAAGAGAATGCGAACGAAGTGTCTGGAGCGAAGGGAGGCTTCTTCCTAAAAGGTGCAAGACTGCGTTTTTTCATAAAACGCAGCCTTCGACTGCGTATGCATCAGTTGCATAGCGTGCATTTAATGAAATGATATCGTTGAAATCGTATAAGACCCACGCAGCCCATTACCGGCTGAACGAATGATCGGGGATGCAATCGTCAGATACACGGTTAGCTAATACCGACAGAGAAATGAAAATTGGCACGATTGTTCGGTTGCGATTAACGATGAACAAACACCGGCAATATACGAACAAAGAGCAACAAAAAATTGAACCAAATTTTCCGACAAACCACCACCGTTTTATATCTGACGATCAATCATCCGATACCAACGGACAAAAAAATGTGTATACATATATATGTATATATACGGCGGAAAATTCCAGTTAGAAAAAAAAAGAATCGCTCTTCGCGATCGTTTTCAACGTTTCCTTAAGAGATACACAGTTGATTGCATATTCCCGTTGGTTCACATTTTTGCTTCTAGTGTCGTTCAGTTGTTTCGCGGATTCATTTCGGAGCCGGCTGCCGCTTGTCTCATCTTTCCATTGTAGTTCGTTGTCGTAACGTCGGCGATCTTAAAAATCGATGACAGTCTAAAACAGGTATGGCGATGGCTCGCAAAAGCCACAGTCTTGACAGGTTCTCTGCGAAAACCAGAAGTCGAGGTTTGAGACACAAGGATCGTGAGATTTTCGATCCGAGACTTGATAGATTTAATAGAATATTAGAGTGGAATAGTATAATATTTCAATAAAATATTAGAATTGGAATATTATAATATTGGTTAATGCTTAGAAATTTAGGAATTTGGGATTGGAAGTTTAGAAGGTTTGAAAATTTTAAAAATTGGAACATTCAGAAGTTTGAGAACTTAGAAGTTTGGTGGGTTAAGAATTCAGGGATCTAGAAATTTAGCAATATTTCAATAGAATATTAGAATTGAAATATTATAATATTAGTTAATGCTCAGAAATTTAGGAATTTGGGATTGGCAGTTTAGAAGGTTTGAAAATTGGAACATTCAGAAGTGTGAGAACTTAGGAGTTTGGTAGGTTAAGAATTCAGGAATCTAAAAATTTAGCAATCTGAAAATTTTGGAATTTAGGAATTTGGAAATTTGAAATTTGAAGGAACCTGGAACTTAGAGATTTGGAAATAAATTTGGAAATTTCAAAATTTAGAAATTTGAAAGCTTGGAAGCTCGAGGATTTGGAAACTTGATAATTCAGAAACTTTGGGAAACACGTTGCTAAATTTGCGCAAATATTTCGCCTTCAATCGTTTTGATTCTCGAAATTCGAAAAAGCTCGATGCTTCAACGACTTGAAACTCGAGAATTTAACGATTTAGCGCCTGCTGCGTTGCAACGCGTTGATCATTGACAATAGCCTCGTTTCGAGTTTGTTTTGTTCACAATTTTTTCGACACGCAGCAAAATGGCCCAGTCGTAACGCGAAGGAGGAGGACTGATCGAATCTGTCAAGCTAGCGGGGATTCAGTTAGTTCTTTTCTCGTTCGATCGTTCGATTCCTGTAACGACACGTCGCTGAAACACGTCGTCCGGCCGAAGAAATTCACCATGCAAAACTATTTGACAACGCGTTATCGTCGCGTTCACGACAAAATCAAAGACGTTCGGATGTCGGATCTCGGGAACAAATTTTCCAAAGTACGTTTCATTCATCAAATCAGCGTTGGAACAGCCGACGCTGACAATCGCAAAAACACTTATAAATTTCAGAGCCTCAGAGAAATCAGGATATTGTCGTTGTTGGATCATTTTCCACAATCACTGAACAAGGTCTCCCTTGTCGGTATGAGGATCCCGGAATTTCCTTACAACCAGCACTGGCGGAAATCTTGGTTATTCAAGTATTGGGCAGTTTGTTTAGTCGTCTGTTTGCCCGTGATATATCAATTGCAAGCGACAAGCTCGGAGAAGTTGGGAATCCTTCCGAGGCGGGACTCGGAAACACCGGCGGAGAAGAGTAGAGCCGAGGAGGCAGGAAATATTTCACGTGGTAGAGAATGATTTCGAATGGAAACACTTTCGGAGACAATCCCTTTGACGCGTCTCTCCGAAGGTGGAACGAGGATAGACGGAGTATTACGCTTAATTAGAGCAAAGGACCGTTTAAAGGAGAGACTCGAAATTACTTGGAATAATTTTGCACATGGAAATAGCAGGGGTATTTATATTGATAGTAATAATAAGAACATAGAGAAGACATATGTATAGAGATATTGTAGATTAGTTGTTACAAAAATCACATCGTGTAACGTCACTGACAATGAGTTTAATGTATGTTTCGATATGTATGTGGACGCTTGTTAAATTGTTCTCAGTATTAAATGCACGTAAACAGATATCATGGACGATGTACTCTTGGCTTTTTATCGAATTGAAGAAATCGATGGATTTGCAGCAATAATGATGCAACTATTTAAATTAAATATTTTGGAAAGCTATGAATTCGTAGTTCCAAATAAACTGCAAATAAATTTTTGTACGTTCATAGGAAAACTATAGGCGTGAAGATGTATCAAAAGCACATGATACGCGAGAATATAAAAATTATTCGGAGTGAAGTATGAAGCCAGTGAATATTAATGAAAATACGAGATTGAAGTTGATGAGAATCAGCAGTCTATTTAGAACTACATACATTTTAGAAGTTTATTTAAATTATTGGGAGATGGAAACTACCTCTTGGTTATAGTGACACAGTAATTGATATTAATTGATAAAATTAAACTCACCGTTGGATATTCTTCCGTTAATCCGAATTCTCCTAAACGATAGTAAACCGATCTGTTCTCCATGAAACTTCTGTAATCGTAACGTGGCATCATTGGGATTCTCATTTGCCAGAACGGTTCTCTGACGTTCGCACCCAAATTTAATATATCTCGTTCTCTATAATAAACTCGCAATGGTGGCTGAAAACGAGATGGAAAAACTTTTTAATTTTTATTCTCTTATTCAAACTGCCGATAGTTGTGCAAATTTATATTTTTTTTAAATCTTGTCGATCATTCGATCGAAAGTCAAAGTACAAAGCAACTGTTACAAAATATCCTGACAAGTAGATTTTGATCTAAATTTATGTTTCTGTAAATTTAATTTAAATCTCTTATATACGCAATTTAATATGTATGAAGTAGCGTTAATATACGATTGTCAAATATAATTCTGTTTCTTTCTCTGACCACTCATGTCTCTTGGACTCTCTTTTGTCTATCAGTATATTCAAAGCGGAACACTCGTTACGATTTTCAGCGATCACTACCAACGTTACGTACTATTTCTTCAGCGAAATTTCTGATTATAAAAATAAAAATTTGCACAAATATCTGCAGGCCAATTCACTGCCAATACCTCTTCTTTTTGCTCGATCGGTTCCTCTTCTGGTGAATTTGGCCTGGAAGAGTTTGGAGATAATTGCGGCGTCGATGATCCGGTAGAAGATACCAAACTGGAGATTCCACTTGATTCGCTAGACGGTGATATCGGTGAATATCCAGCCAAACTTCTTACACCTCGTTCGTATAAAATTCTCGTTCCCAAAGCAGCAAAATGTTCAGGCTCTAGACCAGACAGAGGCAAAGCTATCGTTAGCGCCATTTTCTACTTCACTTTTTCTGACCTCCTTCTTTTTAAAATTTTATCATACGAAAGTTTGAACGATTAACGGTGTCGAAAATTTTCTTAATTTCACTACGATTAAAATAAACCTTTCGATTGCTAGAGACCGTTACGACGTTGACCGAAAACTAACTAAAGGTTCAGGTAGACTCTTCTTCGATAACATTCTTGAACATGTATGCCTTATTCATACGTATATCCCCGAATGAGAGTGTATACGAAAGTAAACATGACCTTTCTGATTTTCAAGTGGTATTAGCAACGTATGTTTAATTACAAGCAATAATATGGTACAAATATCCTATAGTATTTCCTAGTTAGTTTTCTAATTTAATCGAACGAACATCAAATGAAAAATTTCTCAAATTAAAATTTTAATTTTTAATGAGTTTTGATATATATTTCTGCCACAAGATGAAGTTTCTTTTTATCGTTTCTCAATGTTGATCTTGTTTTCTGGTGTGGAGAGTGTATAAAATATTCTTTGATAGAATTTATTTGCTGACAGAATTTATCATCATCCCTTAATTCTAAGGGTGAAACGATAAAGATGTAGGTGTCTTTTTTATCGACGAATATGCTTATCTCTCGTTGATAACAATCTGTAATTTCAGCTGTTACCGACACCAGTTCCCTGTACCAACAGTGGTAATTTGGACGAAAGTTCCCTTACCAACAGTTGTACATTCACATTGAAACGAAAGGATATGTTGTTTCTCAACTAATATATTTTATTCAAATATTGTATTACAATTTGCAGTTAAAAATAGAATGTCTACAATATGGAAATTTACATGGAATTCTATGATTTTGATGAACAACTTTGAATTCACCATCACAGATGTGGTGTTCATCTTTACCACATGTCGATAATGTAGAGTCCTTTATATCTCGTTCCTTTTAGAATATATTTTTTTGGTGTTGTACTTTTTGACTACTAGAGGGTTTTCAGAATGAAGCGTTCCTACCCAGTACTATTTTTTTCCTTAAATTATTAATGAAAAACAAGATTTATTTATTTTATTGATATTAGATTTTTGCACAGTCATTAGCAAGATGTTTGTACTGGTTTTACAGTGTAATAGCGTAAAATCATTGGGAAGGCTATATGTATGATTTTCTCGCTAGTGTACGCTAAAATTCTCGATTACTATATAAGACCGATGCATACTATGCACTTCTGTGGTCTGGCGCTACTCGGCTAATGCGGAGGAAAAATCATTGTTCAAGGATCGAACATCAATCGGTGCGACTCAACGGAAGGGTGTCCAATCATATCATCATCATCATCACCACCAACCCAGTGGCACCGCGCGGCTCCGTCTTATCTTCTGACCAGCATCCATGACGTTGCCCTGAAAGAAAGGAGGAGAGAGAGAGAAAAAAACCCCGGCTGCACAGACAAAACGAAAAAAAATCCTTCGCTCCAAGGCAGAAAAACAAAAGGGCCACGACGCCGCCTCCGTTCCCTTTCTTCAGCTCTTTAAAAACTTCAATTGAAGCTCTCGGAGAATATAAGAGATAAGAGGGAGGGGAGGAGGAGGAAGAAGAAATATTGGACATCAAAAAACGGGGAAGTTCCGCCTTTACTTAAAAAGGTTTGAAAGAAGAAAAACAAATCAAACAAAATCCTCTCCTCACTTTGATCGCTGTGATATAAGTGTTCAACTTGAACAATTGATTTGGAATCTTCATAAACTGTAGTAGTTACCAGTTTGACCACATTTTTTGACTCGCTCATCAAATTTTTTTTCTTTGCAATTTTGTTACAATTTTTGAAGTGTTTCTCCTGTCAATTGACATTAGACTTTTTTATATTCGTTTTTGCACAAAGATATATATATATATATATTATTATTTTTAAAATATAACAGAACGGCTATCAAAAATCTATTTGATCATTATTAATCGACTAGGAAGATCTCTTCCCGCTTTGAGATAAATCACTGGATGACCAACTGAGTTGATCTCACTTTTTCCTTAGCAACGCGTTTTCTTTTAATCGTATTCTTTTCCTTTGTTATTTCATCAATCTGAATTAAAATTCTTTGCAATCTATCAAATATTTTTTTCTGCATTTGTAGAACATAAGTTTTAGTTACAAAATCAGACGTTGATCGCGCAGCTATTGCTAAGTGTACTAGGCTTTCTCGATAGTAACTGCTCAAGTGTTCGATCAGTATATAAGAATATTATATAGCATACATTTCCGTGGTCCGGAGCTACTCAGGAAAAGGAAAACTGTACCGGAGATAAGTGCGGTACAGCTCTCTCTCTCTCTCTCTCTTCACCTTCCTTCGTTCCTTCTCTCTATTATCTCTGTTGCGTTGCCATTGAGAGAACGTAAGGAAGAAATATTTCGATCTTGAATCGAAGGCAAAATCCCGGTGACTAAAGCGCGCAGCAGAGCCCATATCCAGCAGCAGCAGTCAAACCACTAAATTTGAGGTCTGTCATCTTCGCAGAGAAAGTTGTTTAAAGAAAATTGGTACACATTGGATTCCGCCATCACCTTTAGAACTCCAAAATCTTTCAAAATTATGGTGGGAAGGAAAAAACAATGAATAATTGCTTCGAATTCCTTCTCCCATCTACCTCCGACGTAAACTCCATCTTGACGGAGTTTTGAGACTTCTCTGCTCAGTGAAAAACTGCATATAAAATTAGAGAAGCTTGTAACTGTAGTAGTAATTCCAATTTGACCACACTTTTGACTCACTCATATTTTTTTCCTTACAATTTTGTTAGAAATTATTTTATTATTTTATTATTAAAAAGCAGAGACTGAAAACCGAAATATTGTGAGGTATTTGCTCACATATTATTATAATATATTATTGTAATATAACCGCTATTTTAGGAAATCGGTTTTAATACTGGTATAAGACGGTCATACCGATATTTTCATACGTATTTTATCGGTATTTGATGTCCACAACGGTAAAAACACCGAAATATATACCGGTACGGTACCGCTTTACTGACGAAAACACATTTTTCATTTTCTACGTAAAGTGACTCTTATTAATATTCGGACATCGTACTATTCCAAATATTGTTGTGGATTTCGATAATAGTATGTTTATAATAGTAAATTTGGATTAATTTTTTAATAATATAATAATACATTCGTTATAGTTTATAGTAACATAAATTTTATTTATTTATTGCACATACTTTTCTTAATATCAGACAATAAACTGAACTATGTCGAAATGTAGGCAAAAATATTCGGACATTTGAGGAACTACAATATTTGTACCTGAAAATTGTTAGCATAAACAATAATTAACCATCCGCTTACTGTGCTGGAGTCATTTTTGACCCGTATTGAGAGCTACTCGAATGCAATAACACATACAGTGATGGGAGTTGCTTGTGTTAGTAGCTGAAGTCTAATTGCACCAACACACGAACGCCAAGTGGCTAACACGTGTCCGTCAAAACCGGCGCAGCAAAACCAACTAACAACGATTGGATCTCTCTCATCATCTTCGCAGAGAAAATTGCTCGGAGAAAATTGTACCACATTGGATTTCGCATCGATCTGTGCATCGTTTAAAACTTACGAAAGATCTTTCAAAATTGTGGTGGGAAGAAAACAACGAAAATTACTTCCCCTCACCCCCTGCCGACGTAAACTCCATCTTGACAGGGTTGTTTGAGACTTTCTCAATTAGGGAAGCTCACGAAATATCCTGAAACTGTAGTAGCAGCTCCAATTTGACCACATTTTTTGACTCGCTCGCTCATGTTTTTTCTCTCGCAATTTTGTTCGAAATTATTTCAAAGTGTGTACTCGTCCTGTCAGCAGGGAAATTACATTTTCCTGCAGTGCCGACTCTGGACATCGCGTGGGTGTTTCTTCAGTGCGCCACTAGAGCGTCTTCAACCACCTTCAACCCCTCTATGTTCATTGAACCTTAACATACCCTTCGACGATACGAAATAGTCACCGCAATGAACCAATTACCAATATATTTAACGAATAATAAAACAAGGACTACGAAACTAGTTTCACAATATCCTTCGTTAGATAATTTTAATAATATCTATCTAAGGACGGTGTCGATATTTGCTCCAATAAATTGCTTCCTGCATGAACGCTCCACTCGGAGCAACGTGATCCCCGCCGATATTCACGGTGACGTAATCGCGCTGTTATTTTCCGTTCGTTATACATTATAATGGCGTTGCTTTCTTGAACCGGCTTGACCACGTATACCGGGTGTCCGGATTCGCGCGCGGAACCCGCCGACCCATCCGGTGGCCTTAGCAACGCACATGCGCCCTTCTTGGACTCTCGTCTCTCCAGTTTCTCTCTCCGGATGGTTGGGGATTGGCCCGGAGTAACACCCCCTCATAATGGGTTCACCCGTCCGCGCTGAGCGCGGCACAGCGACCGGGAAAGAGATGGAAAGAGGGTTGAAGGGTGTCGGATAGAGATGAAGACTGCACGAGGACGCAAGAGAGAGTGAGAGAGAGAGAGTGTGTGAGTGTGTGTGTGAGAGAGAGAGAGAGAGAAGCGAGGTGCAGAGAGTAGAGAGAGTCGAAGACTAAGCGAGAGGATGAAAGACAGGGTGAGACGAGAGGGAAGAGGGCAACGGAAGCCATATTGATTTCCCTATGTTTCCCCGTATTGTTACTATAGCGCCCGGTGAGGGCGCGAGGAGAAGGCAGGTACCACCCTCGTCAACCATCCCGCGCCATCCACCCCTCGACAACCACCCCCGCGCTGCCAGCCAGCCCGCGTTCCGTTCTTCCAAACGATGGTCGCCCCGATGAGGGAGAGACTACGTCGCTGGACGTGCATTCCCTTCCGGTCTCGCATTTCTTTCTTTCTTTCTTTCTTTCTTTCTTTCTTTCTTTCTTTCTTTCTTTCTATCCCTGTCCGCTTTTGCACGCGGCTTTCGGCCTCGCGCACTTTTCTACGTGGTGTTCTTCTATTTTATCTCGCTATCACATCGGTTTTGTTGTTGTCGCTCGTCATGTCCGGGAATCTCTGAGATTCAACAATTTCTAAACTGTGAATTCTTTGATGTTACAACGATCGACGAGGTGAGCGTTAGAAGCGGCAAACGAAGCGAAATATTTGTTTATATTTTATA